CATTCCTAAAATTTTAACTGATAAGAGAACAAGACAAGACATGCTATAAAATTTGCTAAGTACAGCTTTGTGCTTTGGTCATTTCTGGCAATTAGCAAAATGAGAGTCATTGCATGCTTTAGAGTTGGTGGCTTTGTTGGGGTTTTCTATAACAGGAAAGACTGAGTTATGTGATTGCAGATAGCGCTGAACACGTCTATTCATGTTCTCAGAATTCCTACTTGCTGGTATGCACAACATCAAAACTGTGGCGCTTTTTTGATAACTGTTGCTTGATTCATCTATATTAGCACTGCCATCATTTTGGACTACAAACACCAATGGGAAGAGCACAATTGTACAGACAACACAGCTGAGAAAAGGAGCTTTCTAAGTAGAATAAAGCAAATCAATATTAAGCAATCGTTTTCCCAAAACGCTGACAGGTAATTGTTCACAATCATCTCAGTCATTATTGTTGGCTCACAGTCGGCGTGGGAAGGAAACTATTTATCAGTAGTACTGAGATTGTGGGTGTGTGGGTGTTGTCACAAAACTTTTCATAGGGACTGAAATGTACCAATAAACAATCTAAGAGCCAAATCAAAATTGCCAAACCAAACATCTTAAAAAAGTCGTCAACTAAATGGACCTGACAGGCGTCATGTCTGACTCACAGATATCATTAACATAACTGCTTTGTTTTACTGTTGTCGCAATGTGTGTATTGGACATTTTACTCTTCACTGATTGCATTGACAGAGCTCTGTATGCTGATGTGACATGCAGACTAGTATTCTTATTTCTTAGGCACGGAGATAACATCTTATACGGAAAAGTTAGAAAGCTGGTAAAACATCAGAAATCATGAATAATGAATTCTTAGTAAGTCCTAAGTTGTTATAGTTATTTGAAATCTACATGGACTAACAGGTTACAATTCACTCACACTAATATTTTGTCAGAAGCTGTGGTGAAAGATTCATGTGCTCTTTCATAACATTTATCATGACTGTGCCTACGATGTCCAGTGCATTTAAATGTAATGTAAAGGGGCATGATCAGGTATCTGTATGTCATGAAATGGAAGAGAGGTCTGTTTCACTATAACCTCACTGTGGGCTTTGACAAATGTCAATAATTTGATATAAAAGGCTGATGGAGTATTGTCGTCAACCTGCCGGGCAGGTGGTGCGATGACCCAAGC